GCCAAGTTTGAGTTCCAGTCGAATCCATTACATTCGCTTATGTGCTAATACCCTTGAGAAAGGTATTAATTCTCTTCTTCTCCCTCCACCTATGGGTAAATAGCTGGACAGATTTGGTTTTATAGCCTTGGATGGCAACTGGTCTAGGAGAAGAGTAACTCTGAATTCAAAACCTTGGGACCTTTGTAGCACACAGTGCATCAGGTCTCTGCATCCAGCCCTTCAAAAAGTGTGGTTGGTTCTGCACAAAGCCTTCACCACTATAATCAAACCATATGTGCTGGTGTCTAGGCTGTTGGTTCCTAGGAACTGAGCTGCTTGACTCTCATATGTTGAATACAATGGGAGAGTCCATATATATATATATATATATATATATATATGGCAACAAGTTCACTTAAGATAAGCTAACAATGTCTGTTTGTGTCATTTTTTTATTATATATTTCCAACTTTTAAATAAAATGTTCAGCATTGGGATTAAAACAGTGGATAAATTGTCCAAAAGTTCATGTTCATATTGTTTAAATAATTTAGACCATCTCGGTCATTTTCAAGAATCAATATGGTGTCTCTATGATAGGTAACGTTCCTTTGTATACACTTTGGGATTCTTTGGAAAGCTGAAAGTTTGAAATAGGATATCGTGATCATCTGTAATGTCTAGTAGGATCAAGGCTGCACCAAAGTGGATGCACTTTGTTTTTTTAAATATATAATATACACATTTTAAATATATTATATACACTTCAGATAATATTTCCGGTGGTGAATAATATTTTATTTAATGTGGGCTGTTTTTGTATAATAATATCTAGCCATCCTAGCAGATGGGTGTGTTCAGAAAATGAGAGTAGCAAGCCATTATATATATATATATATATATATATATATATACACACACACCATCAAAGTAATTATGTGTTGCCTGCTCAGTTAAAGAAGATCAAGATGATTCTAATCAAACTTTTCATTTAAAATCCAATCTGTTACATTTTTGAAGCAGATCTCTATTACTTATAAACCAGAGTGAACACATGTTGGGGTTGAGTATAAAGGCAGTCCTTCCCTGGGAAGGTAAAATGAATGTGGAAAAGTGTTTTGCCCATGTTCTATTTGCACTCTTGTCTTTCACTTTTTGTGGCATGCCAGTGACAGGTTATTGGGTGATACGAAAAAGTGTAAGGAAAGTGGGTTCAGACCTTTCTGAAAGGCACCTGAGCAGATGGAGATATAAGCAGTCTAATCCCAAATTTTAACCTGGTTTGCTAATTCTATCTACCGGGAGTTAATAAAACTCCTGCCACCTTTCACTTTGGAATTACTTTTGATAAATTTATGAAGTAGATGCAAATAGATTTTAAAATCTTCATTAACTGAAACATTTTAATTTGGTTTTTGTTATGTTTTTTTTCCAATGTAAACTGTCTTTAGATTATTTAATGCCAAAATCCATTATTTTGATAAAAAAATAGGTATTTTGAAATAGAACCAGTGTTTTCAGCATTTCACCATGGGTTTTACATTGAAATAGAGTATGAGGATACTTGGGATGTTTTGTCTGTGAGGAAAAGAATTGTAGGGTGGGGAAATAATTCATCACACACAAGGCTGTGTAAATGCTTTTGAGCTCTGGAAAGTGAGAATTGGGCTTCTCCAACCCAGTGCTTTTTTATAACCAAATCATTCTAAAAACATGTTTGCACCTACTGTATCATACACAATAGTTTTAGTGAACCATTGTCTATCTTCTGCAACATTTTGTCCCTCAGATTGAACAAAAAGTGAAAATTATTAAAAAAGAAAAAAAGTTCCTTCCATAGTTAATCATGGCTCTCCAAATTTCTTTTCTGTGAATTTCCATGGAATTGTAGGAAAGATAGTGGCATGTTTATGAATCTATTTAACAACTGGATGATACATTCTGCCTAGATAAGAACCTCATCCTCTTAGCATTTTACTGTTTGTAATATATTTACAAATACCATAATGCCCAAGTTGAAAAACTGAATTTAACAAAAACAATTTTGCTTCCTCATTAATGCCTTAGGTCTTGTTAATGGATAAATGAACAGCTGCCAAAAGCTCTTAGTCAAAATCTTTGGACAATTCTTCCACTCATTACTAATTTCTTTTCACTTAAGAATTAAAAGTAAAACAAAATCATTCCCTGTTTCTGCCCTTTAACCATATATATATATATATATATATATATATATATATATATATATATATATATATGTGTGTATTTCATGGTAGATAAAATTAAATACAATTTTAAATTTTGCTTGATTCACAAATTTATAAAGAAAAGTAAACCTTGTTCCTAAAAATTAGATTATTACAAGTTTAAGTTTAAAAAGGAAAAAGAATACATTTTTTTTTTTTTTTTTTTCCAGGGAATTTGGTAACCTGCAAATTTGATGACATTGTTGGTTTATTTATTTCCTAATTTCTGAAACCACTACTAGGGGACGCTCTCTAAAGCTATAAATAATCTACGATAATTTTTTTTTTTCTTTCTCTCCTTACTTTTACACTTATGACAACAATGTAAATCTCTTGCTGAAGATTTCATTTTTTTTTTCGTTTTTGGGAAATGCATGAACACACATTCGCTCAATTCACATACTTTGGACCAAAAACTTTCCACATTCATTTGTTACGCACATTATTGTCTTTGTCACTTGTAAATCTTTCTTTATTAATACATTATCATTTGTTTGTACATGTATACCAGTCCTTGTTGTTTCCCCACATTTCTTTAGGTGGACTCATATTCCGAGTCCGCCATGTTTGTTGTGGGCATTTCAGGAGACACATGTGTTTATCTCTCAGTGCGTAAACCAGCATACATTTTCTAATCTTTTTTTTTTTTTTTTTTTTTTTAAATATAAAGAAAAATATTTTCTGGCTTATTTAATATTATTCCCCTCCCATCCTTATCAAACCTTTCTATAATCATCCTCCTTCTTTCTCTTCCTTTCCCAAAAAAAAAAAAAGGAAGAGGAAAATTCTATTTTCAAATAGTTCTGCATTTGACCTTTCTGATTTAAGAGATATGACCCTACTTTAACCAGGATTTTTAGTTATCATTCAGATATATTTTTACAAATACCTTTTTTTTTTCATCAATTTTTCCCAACAGTTTTCAAATTGTTACATGCCTCTTAAATTTCTATCAGGTCATCCCATAAGTTCTGTCCTAATTTTGAATAAAGAAAATCAGTGACCAAATGTTACATTTAATTACAGATTCAATCAACAATGTATTTTCCCTGATTATCTATGACTTCCTTCCATCTATTAACAAGCTTACTAATTCCATTGCTGTAAAATTCTTTTGGCTTTGATTCGAAGAACTCACAAATGTCAGTTTTAACCTCTTCCTGTGTTACAAAAGCTGTTTCTTCCAAATGATTCTGTAAGCTATGAAACAAATGGTAGTCTGAAGGATCAAGATTGGGAGAATAAGGTGGATGAGGAATTTTCTCCCAACCAACTTCTTTGATCTTTTGTGACGTGATTCTTGCTGTGTGGGGTTGTGCATCACCTTTTTTCGATTCACTAGAGCAGGTCTTTTTTTCCTCAAAGCATGGTTCAAACGCTCTAATTGCTGACAGTATATTTGAGCATTAATTGTTGCATTAGGTGGTAAAAATTCAAAGTGGATTATTCCTTGGCGGTCCCACCAGATTGAAACTATTTTATCCCTAGCAAAATGGGACATGTAATTTTTCACTTCTATTCATCAACAAGATGGCATATTTTGACCATCCTGTGTATGATGATAAACTACATTCGCATCCTGGGTAAGACGATAAACTATATCTAATAGCAAGGATTCTGATCAGGAGGTTTTGAGGAACATGGGACCACTTCTTAATTGCTTGTATTCCCAAGTTCACCCTGACCCAGGGTGGTAGCACCTGTTAGGGTCCCAACTATGGGCAATAGCTAATCCACAGACTGGGGTTAAAAAAACTATAAAAGTGTAAAAATAGAAAAAAAAATACATTTTTGAAAAATATATATTAGCAGCAATACAATTTTCAAATATATATATATATATATATATATATGTTTTTTTTTTTTTTTTTTTTTTTTTTTTTGAAAAAAAAAATTCATTACCAGCAAAAAAATTTTATTGGCATTAAATAATCCATTGAGGTTGATATGCCATAAAACAATATAAACCAAACTATCATATTTTGAGGAACTACTGAAAAGCCACCTTTCCTTAAATATTTAAGACCTTAGAATTTCATTTTCCAACCTTCACAACACATACTTTAGGTACAATTCCTAGCAAATTTAATGAAGTAAAAACCACAAACTTTTGTAACAAAGATATGTGCTTTGTCCATAACTTGAATTTTATTTCACAAATTGATAAATCAATTGAAGGAATTTCTTCAGTTCACCAGACAATGCACTTTATATGGAGTGATAATCTACAGGAAAAGATCTGGAGAATACACCACATGCAAAAGAACTTCCCATACCAATTCTCTGAGTATTAGCTATTATGCTAGTGCAGTCTTCTGCTTGAATATATATATTATGTTACAGCAAAATATATTTTTCTCTTTTAATGTGTCATTCACAGGAGCCAGTTTCTCACTTCATTGTGAAGTAATCATTTATAGAGTTTTTGATTCATTCTAAAGAATCCCTTCTGATTTTGATCAAACAGAAAAAAATTTCTTTTACTTAAAATCCTTGATTATGTTAAAAGATATTATATATTCTTTTTCTCACCGTTAACCCTGGAAGGAGTCAATCTGGTGCCGATGTGCTGGGCTGACTACCATTCTTCTCCATCTTTAGCAGTCATGTACTAGAGTCTAGGTCTCCATGAATGCTTTCTTAGTGTGCTAATCATGTGGCGTATTTTGGGTGTTTTAACCTGGTGGAAACTATCCTTCTGTAGGATATTACATATATTATGTCTAAATAAATTTTATTTATAAACAACGTCTCATTGACGTTTAAGGTGATATGCTGGAGACAGTCCAAGATCAAGCTTTGAGTTTTCTTCATCTTAGATTTCTTAATAATTTCCTCCTCCTTCTCCCCATTGATGGTAGACTTATTCTTCTTCACCTCCCTGTCAACTGCAGAGTTATCCTCCTCTGCAGACGTTTTCTCTTCCACCCCATCCTCAACTGAAGACTTTTTTTCTCTTTGCCTAAGATAATCTTGTCCTTAAACACCTTTTCCTGAGACATGCAAAATGAGAAAGGCAGATCATAAATATTTATGACCAATATTTATTTTTTTCTATGGTGGACATATTTTAACTACCTAGTACTCTTAAAAAAATTTGGAAAATATTCTCTGTAATTTAATGTTTTATTGAATTTTAGAAATGTTGGCATTAAATTTTCTATAGTTCTTGCTCTTAATGTCATGTATGGATGTTTGTATTTACAAAAATCAGCATGTGTATATATACACACAAAAAAAAATTCAAAATTGTTTTTAAGACATTTGTGACATGGTCGTTCCAGGGTCAGATCCTATGGTCATGGCACCGTTTGTGATGTCGTCCCCCGGTCGCAGCGCCGACTGTGACGTTCTATCCTGATCTACCACAGTGCCAGTTGTGACGTCCGTGGCGCCAGCTGTTCGCTCCTCGCTGCTCCGTTCGGGTGTCGCTGCTCCAAACGTGGCGTCCTGCCTGTCGTGTCAGTTGTGTTGTCTCATCCTGTGACGACCAACTGGCTTGGTATCGTCGCGAACACGCAAATGTGACGTTCTAGCCTTTTGGTGATTCGGTGGGAATCTGGTTAGATTTGGTATCAGCCTCGTCATTTCCCAACCTGCTTCCAAACGCCTGGTTACCAAGGTAACTGCATTGATCTCCAGTCTGCCTACCCACGTTGTGAATTGATCTTAGGCAGACGAGATCAAACAGTGGTTGGGGCCGTAATGCAAACTGAGTTCAACGGGGTGATAACACACAAATATGCATAAAAGAAAATAAAATGAAAACTCAAAAACTTCAAAGTATCAAAGAAAAGGTAACAAACTTTATGTCTAGTTGTTCGATACATAGGACTGCATCTATCTCCCGACCCGTTCTGTGGATTGTGACACGTCGATTTCCGTTAGGCAAGTTTTAATGCTTCAAGTTGTTTGCTCTCTAAGAAATTGGTTTTTCGGTGTGTCTTGGACGAAAGTCGAAAAAAACTTATTTGGTAGTCTGGTTCTAAGTCGCTCTTCAAAATAATTGTTTTCGGGTTGAAGAGGAGTCCGGAATTTTGCGTGAATCTTGGTCAGCTATCTCGAGGCGGCTTCAACTCTGGAAACTCAACTCTCCGCTGGAGTCCGAACTGATTTCTGCCTGTTGGGGCCCTGCTTTTATTGACGCCGACCAAAACCGGGGTGGTTCTGTGGCATCGGGGGGTTTCTCGATAATTCTAAATACATATCCACCTCTTTTATTTCTGGTTAGGGATTTTCCACTCTTTTCCTTTTTTGGTAACCCCTCCTCACTCCCACTTTCTCACCATACCTCTGAGGGGCGTGAACTGCCCTCCCCACTTCTTCATAGCAGCTTCTCGTACTTATACTCTGGATGGGGCGTTGACAGCCTTCTTCGTGCGTCACGTGATCACTCTCAGCAAATGAGGTCTTGGTCAGGTATCTTTCCTCCTCCTTCGTGCATCACGTGATCACCACCTGACCAATGATGTCTTAGTCGGGCGTGAACAATCCACGGCTTTGTTTCGGGGGAAAAAAAATATACCTTGCTTAACTAAAAAAAAAAAATTAATTATCTCTTCTCTTTCCTTTTTCTTCCTTTTCAATCACCGTTATCATTTCTCTAGCCACGAACGGACAATATGACAACTCTTTGTTCAACACGTGGTGTTTATCAGGTAGTTTATCGCTAATTTATCAAGATGGTTGGTTTTCTTAACATGGCTTCAGAAAAGAAATATCCCCAAAATTTTCAGTCAGTCTGTCGCCTCCAAGGAAGAAAGGAAAACACTTCTGGTTCCCATTCATTTTCCTTCGGTACATATGTCTGATAACATAATTTTATTATCATGAGGGCAAAGTTGTTTCGTAAAAAGAATTCAGTCAGCTGCACTGCTTGGGTGGCATTTAATTTTCATATCTGTCCAAAGTCCTTTTTAGTGGCCTGTTTCTCGTTACTTATCGAAATAGCATTTTCACTTGAATTTTTCCTGGGCAGTGGTCCAGCCATTCGTGTACACACCTAGATAACATAGCCGTTATCAAAACACATCTGGTTCCTTCTTTCTTTTCCTTTTCTTTTTTTACTCAGAAATTCCCTGTCATTGTAATGACACACTTTTTCACTTGTTACTTATCAATATTTTCATTGTCTCTTAGGCCATGTGTGTGGCTCTTTTATCACCTACGATTTGTCTCGCTTTCTTTCTGCCTTCCTTTCTTTCTCTGCCTTGTAAATGGTGCCACACATTGGTGGTTGATAAATTGTAGTAAACTTTTACATTTATGATTAATAATTGTTGTTTTTACTTATTAACAATATCACGTAACCGGTACAAATCTATACAGAACTTTAAAAAATTTTAAACTTTATAAATTATTCTAATTAAAAATGAAAATATATCTTGTAAAAATTCATTCATTAAAAAACAAAATTTTTTTCTTAAGACAATGGTGTCCATAATATATCTTATTCATAAATTAATATTAATGTTAATTAAATAATGTCTTAGTTTTATTGCATTTTTCATTTTATGATTCAGAACATATTTTAGGCAACTGGTAGGTCCCATTTTACAAAAAAAAAAATTGATGACTTAAAATCTCCAAGGAGTTCCACATATAACTAATATAAACATTAAAGGGTACAAAAGTGAATTTCTTGAAATTTAATTAAAATTAAATTAGTGGTGGGGTATGAATTTTTTAAAAGTTTTTACCAAGATTTTGTTAAAAAAAATCTTTCTAAAATAATTTAATTCATTTGTAAATAAGTTCTGAAAGTTACATTAAAATCTGACAATTATTTGATTTTTGAAAGAATTTCCAAATCGTTTTTCACTGTAAAAAAAAAAAAAAAAAAAAAAAAGATGCTAACCTTTCCTATACTAATCTTTGATCCTCACAACTGATGCAAGAACTAGAAAATACCTCATAAATAATGACCTCTTCCATTTTCATCAAATGGAAAGAAGTAAAATATATATCAGAGATGCTAGTTGGTTTCAAAGAGAAAATGAAAGAAAGAAGGCAAATAGCAATGTTTAACGTCTTCTGTTAATACTAAAAAAAATAATCAACTATTCCATTTTCATCATGTAGAAAGACTGAAAATGTATCAGAGATGCAACTTGGTTTAAGTGAGAAAATGGTAATTGAAGATAGGGTTTTTGTTTCAGTGAAATTCTTTCTGTTATATAGCATTTCTTTCTTTCACATAACTCTTCTTTCTGTTATATAGCATTTCTTTCTTTCTGTTATATAGCTTTGTGTCAAGCTGCCATGACTGCATCGTGTCTTCTGCAGCAAGAGTTGTGAGTAGTCCTTCGAGCTGGCCTTGAATGTAGATACCACTGAAAAGAAAAAAGTGGAAAATAGCTAGCCTTGAAGGTAGCGGCCGATGGAAGGGAAAAGTGGAAAAAGAAAACGAGTAGGGTTCGGACAACGTTTTTATGAGAACTGGGACTTCCGGTTGTTCCTTGCTGATTACTTCCATTGCTGTTACTACTGAATCGAGCAAAGCAATGAAGCCCCCACATGCCACAATAGTCAACTACTGAGATAGGTATTATAGATGTTGATGTGGCCCTAGTTACCAAAAGATTTCAAGTTAAATGTATTTTAACGTTTCATTGATTCCTGGTTAATTGCATGCGGTTGGAAATTTGCAAAAACTTACACACATAATTGTACCTATACACTAAACGTATACTCACAGAGTGCTTACAAAGCAACAATTTTATCCTGCCACTGCAAGTGACTCGGATAAATCAAGAGTGTGTTTTAATTTTGTAGTTGTGTTGTTAGATCCTGCTATGGCAACAGAAAATGACCATAACAGAAATTAAGTAGTGCAGTAGAGGAGCCTTGAAAAAAAAATACAGTAGAAAGGAAAGTAGCAAATAATGCAGTGTGTTAAAGGTTAACAATAGGATAGGGAATTTCTACAGATATTTTATTGTTGTAGAACTTGGCACAAATTTACTTAATCATTAACTTAAGAATTAAGATTCATCAGAATATTAAAATAGGAAAACCATGAAATTTTCACACATATTTCTTGTAAATAATAATTACATAAAAAAGATGACAATAATAACATCAACTCACTTTTATCTAATAGGCTGAAAAATTATGTTGCTTAGCATCCTCCATAGTTTAGCTTTCTTTTACACAGTAAGTTTTTAAAATACTTGGCATGTTCTCTAATTCAAATTTGAAAAATTAACATTTTCTTTTTTTCTCCATGTTACTTTTGGGAATAAATATAGACTATTAAATAAAATTTCTACACATGCCTCGGAATGTGTTGGCATAAAATTTTTTCCTTTTCTTTATATCTTCTTTACAGGTATATTTATATCTGTGAATTTTTACAAGTGTGCAGACATACACACTGCTATGGATAAAATTTGGCTCAAATGGAGAAAGTGTACAAGCAGTGAATTCTCCATGTTGCTTTATTAGCAGAAATTATTTTTCTTCACATATTCACTTTGATTCCTGAATTATATCTTGTTGGAGAATAAATAATGAATTTATTACATCCTGTTCAAGCAACAGAAACATTGGTGATTTCAGCATACATACATACATAAGCATACAGCGTGTTTTATATAACATCTCGTATATGTTTAAGCTTAAACAACTTGTTCACTCAGTTCATCCATCAATTTATTTGGGTGTCCCATGTCATATCAGATCTTTTTAAGGATTTTTTTTTCTATCATTTATTTGTCTATTTTTAATTTTATTTTTTTTATTTTGTGACTCAAGTTTACCACATGACTAAAATTAATTTTTTTTTTTTTTTTAGGACTAATGTTAAAAGTAATTGGTAGTATTATTTTTAATGTCTTTATATATATATATATATATATATATATATATATATATATATATATATATATATATATATATATATACACACACTATCATGCTTTCATACAATCATAGAAACCTCTACTTTAGGGGCTCAGTTCTGTTGACCAGTTTTTTGTTGTTTTTTTTAAACAATTATAACAAAGTGTGTCTGTGTTTTTTAAAAATTGCCATCACAACGGAATGCAGTTAGAATAAGTTTGTCTTTGGAATTTAACCTTGAAGATGATCATGGATAAAAATCGGAAGTACTTGAACTAAATAAAAACTATAACTTGACAAATTTCATTTTAACATGAAGAAACTGATTAGACAACTGGAAAGGATCAATATAAAAATAGAATTAAATAAAATGCAATGGTTACTCGTCCAGAGTTTCAGGATGATTTGTTTTCATCAAGAATCCGTGTCACGAAACGGACAATAAGCAATGAAAATCATAGGAACAATCTAAAGTCAAACTCCCCTCGGAAAACTCCACTGTCATTGAAAAAACATGATGCCAGGTTGAAATTCATTCATGAACATAAGGATTGGAAAATTAAGTTGTTTTGATGTAATTATGTGTGGAGGAAAGATGGTAATGCCTTCAAACAAAAGAACACAGTTCCAACAGTGAAATTTGGTGGTGACAGCATAATGGTTTGAGGATGTTTTTCTGTAAAAGGTACCGGCAACATATCCGTAATAGATGGTAGAATGAATGCTGCAACATATCAGAATATTTTGGAAGTAAATTTAATGATTTTGGTTGAAAATCTTGAACTTCCTCCTTGAACATGTTAAAATTAACAAGCCATTCTTTGCCTCAGTTAACAGCAGATTGTATGTCATTTTTTAGATTAGCTGCCAATTTGACCTGATTGTACTAATCAGACTTGCTCTTAAGACAAGAGTCAGTTGTGTCATCAGCATAGATACCAAACCGAGAACTGATGTCATCAGTAAGCTTATTGATGAAAATTAGGAATGATGTCAGTCTACAGTTAAAGCCTTGGGAGACACCAGCATTAATGCAAGAAGATCTAGAAGAGTGGCCATTCAAAACAACTCTTATTTCATGATTTAATAAGAAAGATTGAATGAGTTCAAAAGTTCATCCAGCAATACCATAGCTTTTCAAGAGAAAAGATTTTACAGTACAGAAATTGGTAAAAATGCCACAAATATTGACGAAAGGGTGAGGATGAGTAGGTATAATATAAATTAGATTGGTCAGAAAATAATGCAGGTTTTTAACAATTATTTTTAAAATTATGGATCTTTCTTTAGAATAATGTTTATTAATCAAAATAAGAACCATTAGACTGTATACATTTTTGCCAACATGATACAAATGTTGGCATCCCATGAGCATTGAAGTTTGGGTGGGGAGAAAATCTTGGACAGCAATTGGATCATTGAAAACTTTTCCTCATAAGAAGTTATCCAAATGTTTTTAAAAAAATGGTAATCCATTGGCAAGAGGAACGTGAGTCAGGTGGATGAGGTTGAGTTTCATCATTTCTGATTCATTCAATTTCTTTAGCATTCATTCTGCAGCATGTGGCCAAGCCTTGTTGTGCAGGACTGGACCTTTTCTATTGACTTGTGATGGGCACATATGTTGCAATTTCTGATGCATTTGATTAATTTCTTGGCAATATTTCTCAGCTGTGATTATTTCACCAAGATTCAGTCTGATTTAATTTTTCCTTTTAATAAGTGTGACATTCTTCAGATTGAAATTTAAGTGGTTGAACTTATATCTATATATGACTAAAGGACTTAATAAATTGTCATGTATAAGATTATTTTTATGATCCTATATACGGTTTTTTTTTTTTTTTTTTTTTTTTTTTAATTTTTACAAGTTTGCTCAAAAATATATTGTAATACACACACATCTACACAGATATGTTCCAAGATGATTTTAAGTTTCTGTTCTGTTGGACAGTCACTGTTATTCAAGTTTTTATGCATAAACACATTGTGCAGAATTGGCTTCCATCTATTTTTAGATGGAGGTCATCATTTTCTCTTGTGTTTCAAGTAGAACTAAAGGCTAGTTTCTTTCTGAACGCACTCTTCTTGTATTCCTAGGGCTGCCTCTTCATTTCTTGTATTCCTATCCCCCCCCACCCCTTAACCCCCACCCTTTGTATGGATTCCTAACTATCCCCCCCCTTTGCTTTGGTTCCCCCTTTGCTTCTTGTATTCCTATCCCCCCACCCTTCCTTCTTGGATTCCTACCCCCCACCCCACCGCTTCTTGGATTCCTATCCCCCCCCACCCCATCCCCCTTCTTGTATTCCTATTCCCCCCCCCACCCCACCCCTTCTTGTATTTCTATCCCCCACCCCACCCTTCTTGTATTCCTATCCCCCCCCCCACCCCACCCCTTCTTGTATTTCTATCCCACACCCTATCACTTCTTGCATCCACTGCCCACTTCTGTTCTTGTATCCCCACTCCCTCACCCCATTTCTTCTTGTATTCCTACCCACCAGCTCATCACTTCTTGTATCCATATCCTCATTTCTCTTCTTTCAGCCCTGCCCCTATCTCTCCTTAGATCCCTCCAACCCTGTCCCTTCTCCTCTTGTATCACTTCCCCACCCCCCGCTCCTTCTTTTTTGTCATCTCTAACTGCCAACCCTTCTATTCATACCCCGCTGACCATTTCCTTCTTGTATCCCAATCTCCAGCCCTTGTTCAACCATTGCATCCCCACCACCGAAATATATGTAAGCTGTTAATTTATTCAGCTTCTTGTATCTACCTATCAATGTTACACATTCTGCTTCTGATACTATTCCAAAGTATTGACTCTTCTTTCTTAAGTTACCTTACTAGTTGTTGTTAACAGCTTGGACATCTTTCTATGAGGGTCATTCTTTTAAGTTACAGAATTACCATTCTGTCAGTACCCCATGAAATGTTTTTCTTTGCTAAATATTATGTGGCAAGTCAGATTATCATGATTAGTCAAGTAGCTTTCTGAATATCTCTGTCAAGTAACAACAAAGGAGTTTTTGGTTTTAGTCTAAATATTTGTGGGAATTAAAAGCAAGTGTCTCTAATAATTTGATGAGAAACCTTTTCTTTATTTTTTTTTTTTTTTATTTTTTTTTTTTTTTTTTTTTTTTTTTTTAAAGAAAAGAAAAAGAAGAATCAATTCAACCCAAGCAAGGTGATAATGCCATTAAGACACAAGGGTCTATAATCAGTTATATGCCATGTGTGATACACATTTAAGTGATCATGTATCTTTTGATACCTGACTGATGAGGCAGATTTTTTCCCGCAGTAGGTTGCCATTTCTTTCTGCAGTAGACCAGTTGGCATCCAAGGTTATAGAACCTGGTCTGTCCTGCTATTTACCCATAGCTGGGGGGCTGGGGAGAAGAGGATTTATACCTTTCCCAAGTGTATTAGCATGTAAGTGAATGTAATGGATTCAACTGAAATTCAAACTCTACACAAGAGTTTCCTTCATAAACCAACCCTAATGATTCGCTATCCTCACACCCCCTAGAAAACAATATCACACCTCTCTGGAGTGCCAGCACTCTTGGTTAAGAACCACTGGTCTTGAGACACTATGAAAGCACAGTTTGTTTATCAAGACCTAACTAGTCCCATATGTACAATATTTGAGGTTGGGTGATGGGTAATAACAATATCTACATTTAAAAAAAAAAAAAAAATTATTCAATGAATATTTACAATGAAATAAGTATTTACAAAAGCAAGGAAAAAATGAATTTTTATAAGAAACCTCCCTGACTCAAAAGTAAATCTTTGAGTGACAAGAGTAGATAACAATACTTTTGATCAAGGGCCATAACACGTCTTAAGAATTATTAGTGATCAGAAATTAATAAAAATCATTACTAATAGAATAGGCCTATTACATGCATAAAATAAATGCCTTACTACTGATAGAATAGGACTGTTATATATAAATTTCTAGAAAACTTCTTTGCATGTCTATTGTGAATGGATTTCTTTGATTCTTGCCTGACTATTTAAAGCTGATTGTGATTGGCTGTCACTCTCCTTTTCGTTATTCTTGACTGGCAGTAACTGAATCTAATTGAAACATTCCAAGGCATATATTCTCTTCTAATGAAGAAGAGGCCTTCTGGACAGGAAGCTGCCAAACTCAGACTTGCATGTGCAATGCACTTGGTTCTCGTGTTGATATACATACAGTCTTCATATGTTGTTACAAACTGTTCATTAACACCTGCCATTTAGTAATGGATAGTCCACTTACCTCTCATAGGCAATTACTAGTAAGATCGTTCCTTGCTGGGGACTCCACCTTGCCATCGGTTTTTTTTATCTTCACTACTAGAGAGAAAAAGATCTGGAGCAGAGATTGGCAGCAATAAGATTCAAGATAAAAGATAGTTACAGAAGCTGAAACTACAGCAGCTTCTGCAAATATGCTTCATCTCTAATTCTAGAAGCACATGTGAACCAGGGAAAGAATTTATGGGGGTAAGTAAAAATAAAATGTTTGGTAGACATAACATATTGGACTACTTTTGGAAGCCTAGTACTACTCATGGTTTGGCAAAGTTTAACCCTCAGATTCATAAAACACAGTGTGTCAAAAGTACGTTTTCTCTCTTGACAATATTATTGCTGTATATACCCTTGGCAATGTTTATGGTTATAAAAAGTTATGTTTACAATTTTAATAGTAACAAAAAGTTACACACAATTTAGTTGTTAGTTAATTTATTTACAAGGTTATAAAAAATATGGGAACCGACTACAATGCCAGATTTCTTATTTACCATTTTTATAAAGAATTTTTATTTACCATTTTTATAAAGATTTCTCCTTTGCCATTTTTTATAAAGATTTCTCCTTTGCCATTTTTTATAAAGATTTAAGAAAGGTATGAATCCATCTCTTCTCTTCCTACCTCTGGGTAAATAGCAGGGCAAACTGATCTTATAGCCTTGGGTGGTAACCAACCTATGAGAACATCAATTGTGATTTCAAAACATCCAGCTATGGATTAAATAGTCTCACCAACCCACAATTGGCCAAGTACGTATTGTACTTGGTGAGTATGGCTACACCCACTGAAGATATGTTCAGTTGGGTAGAGTTCCTTCAAGGAATGAGAAGGCCCTGGAACTACTATATGAACTATAGAACAAGAACATTTAAATAAACACATTTTTTCTAGACATAATCCATTTTCTTCTTAGATTATTTCATATCTTGAATAACTTGTTTCAATTTTCTAATTTTTTTTTTTTTTTTTTTTATAACCATGGTCTCGAATCAGGGAGGCCTAATTAAAAGAAATATTCAGTAAAAATTACTAAACTTCTTTAATTATACACAATGAAAACCTTGTCCTTCACCAAATTTATCATGGAGTTACACTCTCAAAATATTGAGTTTTGTGGCCTTACTTGAAATCTAAAATTAAAAGAATGTTTGTTTGGTTTAGAGAAAGAGATTCTCTTAACTTATTTTAATGAATTTGTGGTGAAAGCAAATGAAAGAAATATCAGAAAATTTATTTATTTATTTTATTTTTTTTCAAAATGTAGAATTACAATTATTCTATCTATTCATGTACAATATGACCTGAATTTTCTTTTGCATGAATTTTAAACACTCCAGAAAAAATACCTGTGTATAGAGCAAGCAGTCACCGAAAAAGCATGATTTTTAAACTTAAAAAAAAAAATGAACTGTCTGTAGTGTGACCCTCCTATTTTTATTTATTTATTAATTTTTTCTGGAAAAAACTGATCATAAAAACTTGCACTATATGTGAGTATATACAGGAATTGTTATTTTTGTATCTATTTGAATTTTCTTGTTCAGACATAAAATAAAAATATATTTTTTTTATTTCTTCATAAAACAAGGAATAAAAAAACTTTAATGAAATATTTATCATTTACCATTTTATAAAGTTGGTTAACATATTTTAATAATTTTGTAAATTTTTATAAATTTATGAATAAAAAATTTGTTTTATTTATTTCTTTATAAAATTGTAAATGATAGATTTATTTTATGCAATATTAACAACTAAACAGTGACACATATTTGTTGTTTTTAAAATTCTAAATGTAGCTTTTGAAAACACATTGCTGAGGGAGTCAAGAGAGTATACAGTAATAGTGGAATTGTGTTAAAAAAGTCATTTTAACACACTTTTCTTTTTCTTTTTTTTTCTTGGAGGTTAGTCCTAATGTTAAAATGATGAATTTCACTGGTTGTGAGTATTGGGGCTTCTTCTTTTAAAAGTAAGTGGGATATGAATGAAATGACAGTTAATTCAAAATTTATCAACACTAGACTTCTAAGTGTAACCCAATGCTATTTAGCAGAATATTGCAGAATACTCGGGAATATAAAATATATAAATATGAAAATGTATGTTTGTTCAAATATGTGATGAAATAATTATTGTTGAATGTTTCATCTCAGAAAGTCAAAAAGTTTAGGAGTCTCTAGGGTGTAGAATCGGGCCTCAAAAAATGTTGATGAATGGACCAGCATAAACAAGAACCTGAGCACAGACAACAACCAGAAAGCAGAATGTTATATAAAAACTTGACATGTGAGGAGATGAGAATCCCTCAAATCCTTGTGAGAAGATTGAATATACAAAGAAACATTAGGAAACCACATACGTTTGATTTGGCTTATGTTAATTTGACAGTCCAGAAATGAACAAACAATTATCATGTTTTTTTGTTTTTTTTTAATCATTTCACCCCATGCAAGGCAGCAAAGCCATTAAGACACAAGGAGGAAGAGTAATCAGGAAGACAGTAGATAACAACTGACATTGCATTTAAATTTTTGAAGATCAAATTTGGCTGGAAAGCATGTTGCCAGAAGAGTTTCACAAGTGAGAATTGTGAGAGAAGAAACTGTTAGCATAGATCCTACGGTTGCATCTAGCCAATTCACCTTCTAAATTGATGAGACCTAATTGCCAATCTAGTACTGAGCATAAATTCATAAAGACTAGGTACCATAGTAGAAAGTTCATCAGGACAACTAACATGAAAATATTTATACAGAAGACACAAGGAAGCTACATTACAGCTATGGGGAAAGTGACTGAAGCCAAGATACCAGGTCAGGACTAATAACATTGCAGATTTTTCTTTTGGTTTTATCAAGAATTTTTAAATATATAGCAGGAGCACAGACATGTGGCAGCAATATTTAAAGCAAGGACAAAGTGTAGACTTATAAATATGTAAGAGATTCAGGAATGAAAAATTGTCTTGCACGACAACCAATTTTCTTAACAGCAGTCCTAGAAATTGATTCAATATAATCTTTCTACTTCATGTCAGCTGAGAATATTAGCCTGGGTAGGTGTAATGAGTCACACTACTGGAGGTTAGCATCAGCCATACTAATGGGAGGCAGAAAGATGATTAATAGAGAAGTTTTGGTTTGGAGGCATTCAAAATTAACAAGCCATTCACTGCCCCATTTAGCAGCAGATAATAGGTATGAAAAACTTTGTCTTGGGTTCTTAACAGATTTTACTAATATAACATTACACCGAAGTATACGATTTTTCTTCCATTGTTAGCCAGTTCTTTTTTTTATATTGACCAGCAAGTGTTCTTGTATTTCAAACCATTTTTCTCATCTTGGTTGATATACATGTTATTATCGACACAATGTTTCAACCAAGTGCCCACTGGTCATCATCAGGTGCCTATTGATTGGCTGATATGGGATA